AATAAACATATATTTTAGTATGATAAAATGCAGCAAATATAATTTTTTTGACAGTTCGCAGCAATTTTGGATTGGGCCGCGAGCTGCTCATTCACTAAATTCGTTGTACTGCAAATTATTCTCTATATGAAATCCAAAATACATTCTCCACGCGAAGATAAGTGCTCAAAAATTCGGTTGTTTTTAAAATTATCTTTTCTACCCTGTTCATCAGAGCAGTTCCAAGTCACTAAAACGTGTCGCAAAATTAGCGGAAATCACGAATTTCAGTCTCCATCGTGGCACCGAAAATAAATAGAGCACAAATGAGTGTAAGTTTCGGCAAATTTGAATAACTCTTTTTTACCCAGTTTATCAGGAAGTTATGCTTGGCCGTTCAGCTTGCTTGGTCATAATTGGTGGATTTCATACGTTGCAGTAGACTGGCTGAGTAACTTGAGCCATGAACGATTTAAGTCACGGTTACCAGGGCCACGCAATTTAGGTGACTAAAGTGTTTGTTGTACTGAGACCTTTTTCTCGCTGTCTTGGTACTTATCTCACCCAGGATGCCAGCTTTTCACAGCTGAGTCAAATGAAATTGCAAATTGTTTTACGTATTTTTACACGACACGTACGGCCTAATAAGCTAGTAACTGTCAAATATGACCCAACTAATGAAGAACGGACAACTAACATGCCTTCAAAATTACTTAGATTTGGGGGAATTACTAGACGGCTGCTGAAGCGAATGGGCATGCAAACTAGCGGTAACTAAATAAATTAATGAAATATAGGTGAAACATTTCAACAAGTAATTATAATAGTCGTTTCGTGCTTTCACTGTTATTACTAAAATATATTCTCCACTAAAATGTTATTTAGTTTGTAATGATTCCCCATATGCTACTTAAACTGCATGGTTTTGTATAAGGACGAAAAAGAGGTACGTTACGCAGAACTGAAATCTGATACTATGTCAAAGTAGTGCGTACTCAAAATAACTTAGCCTCCACAAGCGATATACAGACAATTGCCCATCTTGTGAAATCTTATGAATCTAACAAGAAAATCCCAGTTCCACAGAATCGGTCTACAATGCAACAGTGAAAGTAAGTTTTATTAATTATTAAGTTGGTTTGGCAGACTTGCTTAATTTGAGTTGACCCAAGTG